ACAAATGGGTGAATTTCAAGATCGCGCATCAATTGATCATCAACTTCGTTCAAGAAAAGCCAAACGTGTAGTTATTTTTACTGACAACAACGCGACTAACGATCCTGAGGAGGAAGTGGCTTTAATAAGCTATTCGCAACAATCAGATTTTCGGCGAGGTATAATTAAAGGCTCTATGCGGGCTCAAAGGCGCAAAACATTTATTTCGAAACTATTTCAAGCAAATGTACATTCCCCCCTTTTTGTCGACAGAATAACCCCCCTACGTCTTTTTTCTTTTGATATCTCTGAACTAATTAAACCAATTTTTCGAAATTGGACAGGTAAAGAGGGAGAATTCAAGATTCTAGAGTCTAGAGAAGAACAAACAAAAAGAGAAGAGAAAAAAGAAAAGGACAAAAAAGAGGATAACAAAAGAAAGGAACAAGCACGGATAGCGATCGAAGAAGCCTGGGATAACATTCCTTTTGCACAAATAATAAGAGGTTACATGTTAATAACTCAATCAATTCTTCGAAAATATATTCTATTACCTTCATTGATAATAGCCAAAAATCTCGGGCGTATGTTATTCTTGCAACTTCCTGAATGGTCTGAAGATTTGCAGGAATGGAATAGAGAAATGCAGATTAAATGTACTTATAATGGTGTTCAATTATCAGAAACAGAATTTCCCAAAGATTGGTTGAGAGACGGGATTCAGATCAAAATTTTATTTCCTTTTTGTCTGAAACCTTGGCATATATCTAAACTGTACCCCTCCCGCGGAGAGCTAATGAAAAAGCAAAAACAAAAAGATGATTTTTGTTTTTTAACAGTTTGGGGAATGGAAGCTGAACTTCCCTTTGGTTCTCCCCGAAAGCGCCCTTCCTTTTTTGAGCCCATTTTTAAGGAACTCGAAAAAAAAATTGGAAAATTAAAAAAGAAATATTTTCTAACTCTAAAAATTTTCAAAGGAAAAACAAAATTATTTAGAAGAGTTTCAAAAGAAACCAAAAAATGGTTTATCAAAAGTATTGGATTTCTAAAAAAAATAAAAAAAGAACTTTCAAAAGTAAATCCAATTGTATTATTTAGATTCAAAGAAATATCTGAATCCAATGAAACAAAAAAAGAAAAAGATTATCTAATTAGTAATCAAATAATTAACGAATCATTTAGTCAAATTGAATCTGGAAATTGGCCAAATTCTTCACTGATAGAAACAAAAATGAAGGATTTGACTGATAGAACAAGTACAATCAAAAATCAAATAGAAAGAATTACAAAAGATAAAAAGAAAGTAACTCCAGAAATAGACATTAATCCTAATAAAACAAATAATATTAAAAAACTCGAATCGCCAAAAAAATTTTTCCAAATATTACAAAGAAGAAATACTCGAGTAATATGGAAATTCCATTATTTTCTCAAATTATTCATTCAAAGATTATACATCGATCTATTTTTATCTATCATTAATATTCCTAGAATTACTACACAACTCTTTCTTGAATCAACAAACAAATTGATTGAGAAATTCATCTCCAATAATGAAATAAATCAAGAAAAAATTACTAATAAAAAAAAAATTCACTTTATCTTTATTTCGACTATAAAAAAGTCACTTTATAATATTAGTAAGAAAAATTCACATATTTTTTGTGATTTATCCTACTTGTCACAAGCATATGTATTTTACAAATTATCACAAACCCAAGTTATTAATTTGTCTAAATTTAGATCTGTTCTTCAATATAACACAACGTCTTGCTTCCTTAAGACTAAAATAAAGGACTATTTTAAAACACTAGGAATATTTCATTCGGAATTAAAACATAAGAAACTTCAGAGTTATAGAATCAATCAATGGAAAAACTGGTTAAGATGGCATTATCAATACGATTTATCTCAGATTAGATGGTCTAGATTAATGCCAAAAAAATGGCGAACTAAGGTTAATCAAAGTTGTATGGCTAAAAATAAAAATAGAAACTTAAACAAATGGAATTCATATGAAAAAGACCAATTAATTCATTACAAAAAAGAAAATGATTCGGAACTCTATTCATTATCAAACCAAAAAGATAATTTTAAAAAATGTTATAGATATGGTCTTTTAGCATATAAATCAATTAATTATGAAAATAAAAGTGACTCATTTTTTTCTAGATTACCCTTTCAAGTAAAGAAGAACTTAGAAATTTCGTATAATTCTAACACGTCCAAACACAACTTTGTTGATATGCCCGGCAATCTTCATATCAATAATTATCTAAGAAAGGTCAATATTCTAGATATAGAAAGAAATCTCGATAGAAAATATTTTGATTGGAAAATTATCCATTTTTCTCTTAGACAAAAAGGAGATATTGAAGCCTGGGTTAAGATCGATACCAACAGTAATCCAAATACTAAAATTGGTATTAATAATTATCAAATAATTGATAAAATTGAGAAAAAAGGGGTTTTTTATCTTACAACTCATCAAAATCCAGAAAAAACTCAAAAAAATTCGAAAAAAGTCTTTTTTGATTGGATGGGAATGAATGAAAAAATATTTAATCGTCCCATATTGAATCTGGAATTTTGGTTCTTCCCAGAATTTGTACTACTTTATAATGTCTATAAAATAAAACCGTGGATTATACCAAGCAAATTCCTTCTTTTTAATTTGAATACAAATGAAAATGTTATTCAAAATAAAAACCAAAAACAAAACTTTTTTCTACCATCAAATAAAAAAATAAAGAATCGAAGTCAAGAAACAAAAGAACCCCCAAGTCAAAGAGAGCGTGGATCAGATATAGAAAACAAAGGAAATCTGAGCCCTGTTTTTTCAAAACATCAAACCGATCTTGAAAAAGATTACGTGGAATCAGACACAAAAAAGGGTCAAAATAAAAAACAATACAAAAGCAACACGGAAGCAGAACTAGATTTGTTCTTGAAACGTTATTTGCTTTTTCAATTGAGATGGAACGATGCTTTGAATAAAAGAATGCTCGAAAATATCAAGGTATATTGTCTCCTGCTTCGACTGATAAATCCAACCAAAATTACTATATCGTCAATTCAAAGGAGAGAAATGAGTTTGGATATAATGCTGATTCAGGCAAATTTACCTCTTACAGACTTGATGAAGAAGGGGGTATTGATTATCGAACCTATTCGGTTGTCTGTAAAACATAATGGACAATTTATTATGTATCAAACCATAGGTATTTCATTGGTTCATAAAAGTAAACACCAAACTAATCAAAGATACCGAGAACAAAGATATGTTGATAAAAAGAATTTTGACGAATTCATTCTGCAACCTCAAACTCAAAGAATAAATACAGAAAAAACTCATTTTGATTTGCTTGTTCCTGAAAATATTTTATGGTCTAGACGTCGTAGAGAATTGAGAATTCGAAGTTTTTTTAATTCTTTGAATTGGAATGTCGTCGATAGAAATTCAGTATTTTGCAACGAAACCAATGTAAAAAACTGGAGTCAATTTTTGGGTGAACGGAAACCCCTTTATAAAGATAAAAAGAAATTAATTAAATTTAAGTTCTTTCTTTGGCCTAATTATCGATTAGAAGATTTAGCTTGTATGAATCGTTATTGGTTTGATACCAATAATGGTAGCCGTTTCAGTATCTTAAGGATACATATGTATCCACGATTGAAAATTAATTGATAGTACTATATACCCTGTCTCGTATAGAGTATCTGAAAGCAAACAAATGCAAACATGCCTTGTTTTACATCTCATTCGAATCTAATTCGAGTAGACAATACTAAATCAATAAAATAAGGTATTGATTAGATCTAGAAATGAATCAACAGAATCTTCTTCATTTTAGGATTTTAGGTTTCAATTATTCGCTTTTGTGACTGAAAAAAACGTACCTACCACCTTTTTGGATTCCTATCTGAATCAAATTTGAAATTTGATTAATTTATTGGAATTGCTAAAATTAGAGGTTCATAAAGAAATTAAGTCTATATACCACGTTCAAATTACTGGCATTATTATTACTGATCAATAAAATTCTAAAAAATCCATATCTGTAAAATAAAGAAAGGGGAAATTCATTTATGGTAAAAAATTCTGTCATTTCAGTTATTTTTCAAAAAGAAAAGAAAGGATCTGTTGAATTTCAAGTATTCAATTTCACCAATAAGATACGGAGACTTACTTCACATTTAGAATTGCACAAAAAAGACTATTTATCTCAGAGAGGTTTGAAGAAAATTTTGGGAAAACGTCAACGACTGCTAGCTTATTTGGCAAAAAAAAATAGAGTACGTTATAAAGAATTAATTAATCAGTTGGACATTCGAGAGACAAAAACTCGTTAATTTGATTAATTTGAAGAGTTATTTCATTTTCACTTATATGTTTCGATTAAATTTTGATGAACTTCTTTTCACTTTCAGTAATTCATGGAAGAATGAATCGTTAAAAAACTTATGACTGCACCAACTACAAGAAAAGACCTCATGATAGTCAATATGGGGCCTCAGCACCCATCAATGCACGGTGTTCTTCGACTCATCGTTACTCTAGATGGTGAAGATGTTGTCGACTGCGAACCAATATTGGGTTATTTACATAGAGGGATGGAGAAAATTGCGGAAAACCGAACAATTATACAATATTTGCCTTATGTAACACGTTGGGATTATTTAGCTACTATGTTCACAGAAGCAATAACCATAAATGGACCCGAACAATTAGGCAATATTCAAGTACCTAAAAGGGCTAGCTATATCAGAGTCATTATGTTGGAGTTGAGTCGGATAGCTTCTCATTTGTTATGGCTCGGTCCTTTTATGGCGGATATTGGTGCACAGACCCCTTTCTTCTATATTTTTCGAGAAAGAGAATTGATATATGACCTATTCGAAGCTGCCACCGGTATGCGAATGATGCATAATTATTTTCGTATTGGAGGAGTGGCTGCCGATCTACCCTATGGCTGGATAGATAAATGTTTGGATTTTTGCGATTATTTTTTAACAGGGGTTGCTGAGTATCAAAAACTTATTACCCGGAATCCTATTTTTTTAGAACGAGTTGAAGGCGTAGGCATTATTGGGAGAGACGAGGCAGTAAATTGGGGTTTATCGGGACCAATGCTACGAGCTTCCGGAATAGAATGGGATCTTCGTAAAGTTGATCATTATGAGTCTTACGACGAATTTGATTGGCAGGTTCAATGGCAACGAGAAGGGGATTCATTAGCTCGTTATTTAGTACGAATCGGTGAAATGACAGAATCCATAAAGATTATTCAACAGGCTCTGGAAGGAATTCCAGGAGGGCCTTACGAAAATTTAGAAATGCGACGTTTTGACAGATTAAAAGATCCTGAATGGAATGATTTTGAATATCGGTTTATTAGTAAAAAGCCTTCTCCAACTTTTGAATTGTCGAAACAAGAACTTTATGTGAGAGTTGAAGCCCCAAAAGGAGAATTGGGGATTTTTCTGATAGGAGACCAGAGCGTTTTTCCTTGGAGATGGAAAATTCGCCCACCAGGTTTTATCAATTTGCAAATTCTTCCTCAGTTAGTTAAAAGAATGAAATTGGCTGATATTATGACAATACTAGGTAGCATAGATATCATTATGGGAGAAGTTGATCGTTGAAATGATAATTGATACAACAGAAATAGAGACTATCAATTCTTTTTCCAAATTGGAATCCTTAAAAGAAGTCTATGGGATCATATGGATGCTTGTCCCTATTGTGACTCTTGTATTAGGAATCACAATAGGTGTACTAGTAATTGTTTGGTTAGAAAGAGAAATATCTGCAGGAATACAACAACGTATCGGGCCTGAATATGCCGGCCCTTTAGGAATTCTTCAAGCTCTAGCAGATGGGACAAAACTACTTTTGAAAGAGAACCTTATTCCATCTACAGGAGATACTCGTTTATTCAGTATTGGGCCATCCATAGCAGTAATATCTATCTTTCTAAGTTATTCAGTAATTCCTTTTGGTGATCACCTTGTTCTAGCCGATCTTAGTATTGGTGTTTTTTTTTGGATTGCCATTTCAAGTATTGCTCCCGTTGGACTTCTTATGTCGGGGTATGGATCAAATAATAAATATTCCTTTTTAGGTGGTCTACGGGCAGCTGCTCAATCAATTAGTTATGAAATACCATTAGCTCTATGTGTGTTATCAATATCTCTACGTGTGATTCGGTGAGACCTAAAATTTATCAAAATTCTTTTCTTTCTAGAAACAAGGATAAAAAGATTTGATTGACTATATATATTTTTATTTTTCTTCAGCATTTGAGTTGATGAACTAAACCAGATAGTTATATGAGTGAAAGAAAACGGCTTCTAAATTTGCAGTAAAAAAGTTGAGTCTCATTTCCTATGTACAAGAATCAAATGGTGAAAAAAGTAAATATAAGCAAGAGAGATTGTTTACCCCAAGATTCGTGAATTGTCATGATAGCTTGAAGCGGGTTCAAAAGACCAACTCTATGGAGTTTTTACTGTCTATTACCATAGATGGATTTCCACAACGGGAGGTTTTTGAAACAAAAAATGAGTGGATGGTTAGGAAGACCAAGATACACAAAGGATTAGTAATTGAGATTATGTAAGTTATCCAAGAGGATATTTCTGTACATAAAAGGAATTCAAATTGGGGCTTTACGTTCGTAGAAATGATCAAGAAGTACTCCCCATGATTCTGATCCAGAGTATGTTCCTATCCACTGAGTAAGTAACTAACTATCAAGAACGAAGTAATCTTTTACTTTGGTTAAAGGCCCTTTTTCTGAGAAAGGAGAATAGGAATGAAATAAAAAAATCGAAATAGAAAGAAAAGAATCTAATTGCAAAAGCAAAAAGGAGGGATGTCTTTTTTTTTTCTTCCTTTTTTCTTTTTTTGTTTTTATTCTTTCTTTCCTATAATTCAATTTTGATTTCTATTTAGAGAGATAAAATTTTTGTCATGATTCATGAACTAATGTACTCTCTAATTTTTTTCGTAATTGAAAATTCGAGGTTGAAATGTATATGTGATATTGCTATAAAGCACATTTTTTTATTTAATGATAAGGTTATTAATCAACAAAGAAAAATTAAAATTCTTAAAAGATGAGATAAATTCAGAAGCACTTATTTATTAGTTTTAAATATAGCAGACAGAATTCCATTGGTCTAATTTGGGACCTTAGGATAGATTTTGACTCTATCTGACAAACATATCAAGATAAAGAATAGGAAAGGGCCCTTAGGTTTATTTGTGACCTCTGAGGAGCCGTATGAGGTGAAAATCTCACGTACGGTTCTGGAATAGCGATGGGCACAGTGATGTTATCATCGACTATGATTATCTAACAGTTCAAGTACAGTTGATATAGTGGAAGCGCAGTCAAAATATGGTTTTTGGGGGTGGAATTTGTGGCGTCAACCCATCGGGTTTATCGTTTTTCTAATTTCTTCTCTCGCCGAGTGTGAAAGATTACCTTTTGATTTACCAGAAGCAGAAGAAGAATTAGTAGCAGGGTATCAAACCGAATATTCAGGTATCAAATTTGGTTTATTTTACATTGCTTCATATCTGAATCTACTAGTTTCTTCATTATTTGTAACAGTTCTTTACTTGGGAGGTTGGAATCTTTCTATTCCGTACATATTTGTTCCTGAGCTATTTGGCATAAATAAAGGGGGTAAAGTCTTTGGAACACTAATTGGTATCTTTATCACATTAGCCAAAACTTATTTGTTTTTGTTCATTCCTATTGCAACAAGATGGACTTTACCGAGGCTGAGAATGGACCAACTATTAAATCTTGGGTGGAAATTTCTTTTACCGATTTCTCTAGGTAATCTATTATTGACAACCTCGTCCCAACTTCTTTCACTGTAAAAGACCACAATATCCTAGATTCACGACTTGTCTCAAACAAGAGAAAGAAACAAGCATAAAATCTTTTTTATAGATATTCAACATATGCTCCCTATGATAACTGAATTCATAAATTATGGTCAACAAACAATACGAGCCGCCAGATACATCGGCCAAGGTTTCATGATTACCCTGTCCCACGCAAATCGTTTACCTGTAACTATTCAATACCCCTACGAAAAATTGATCACATCGGAACGTTTCCGAGGCCGAATACACTTTGAATTTGATAAATGCATTGCTTGTGAAGTATGTGTGCGTGTATGTCCTATAGATTTACCCGTTGTTGATTGGAAGTTGGAAACTGATATTCGAAAGAAACGATTGCTTAATTACAGTATTGATTTTGGAATCTGTATATTTTGTGGTAATTGCGTTGAGTATTGCCCAACAAATTGTTTATCAATGACCGAAGAATATGAACTTTCTACTTATGATCGTCACGAATTGAATTATAATCAAATCGCTTTGGGTCGCTTACCAATGTCAGTAATTGATGATTACACAATTCGAACAATTTCGAATTTACCTCAAATAAACAATGAATAAACCCTTAATTCGATTCAAAAAAATTACGAATTACGAAGGCTTAGTTCGGATCTAAAACAATGAGATTTTTGCTTGGGCAATTCAAACTAGTGGTTGCTTAATGAGACTCCTAGCTTAATTTAGATTGAAAACAAAACCGATTTCAATATTATATATTATAATAGTAATGGTTTCAAAGTAGATAAATGATATCAAAAATAGATAGGTTTAAACTACTCTTTCGACGAATAAAGAATGGATAGTGGTCCAATAAAATAAAAGCATCTACGTCAATTCATACCCATTAGACTTTCATTCAATTAACAATTTCAAAGTATCATAAAAAATAGAAAAACTTCTTTTTTCCTGGTCAGGTCAATAAAGTCATGAAATTCTTCGTTTTTGATTTTTTATAAAAAATGGATTTATCTGAACCAATACATGATTTTCTTTTAGTCTTTCTAGGATCGGGTCTTATATTAGGGGGTCTAGGAGTGGTATTACTTCCCAATCCAATTTATTCGGCCTTTTCCTTGGGATTGGTTCTTATTTGTACATCGTTATTCTATATTCTATCTAACTCCTATTTTGTAGCTGCTGCGCAGCTACTTATTTACGTAGGAGCTATAAATGTTTTAATCATTTTTGCTGTGATGTTCATGAATGGCTCAGAATATTACAAGGATTTTCATCTTTGGACCGTAGGAGATGGAATTACTTCGATGGTTTGTATAAGTCTTTTTATTTCACTAATTACTACTATTTCAGATACGTCATGGTACGGGATTATTTGGACTACAAGATCAAACCAGATTATAGAGCAAGATTTTCTAAGTAATAGTCAACAAATTGGAATTCATTTATCAACAGATTTTTTTCTCCCATTTGAACTTATTTCCATAATCCTTTTAGTTGCTTTAATAGGTGCAATTGCTGTAGCTCGTCAATAAAAAATTTCTATTAAAACTTGGAATTCAAATAAAATTTTGTTCTGTCTTATCACATTAATTTTCCTTGAATTCTATTTGAATTCTAGCTGGATAAATAGAAAGACTTTAGGTCAATCTAGTACCAATCTATTTCTTTGTTCCATACTTGTTATATACTAGTCAATTAAATTAGTTGAATTGTTGTTCATATTGAAAGGAGTCGAGATTGATAAGGAGTTGTTTAATGATTCTCGAACATGTACTTGTTTTGAGTGCCTATTTATTTTCTATCGGTATCTATGGATTGATCACAAGTCGAAATATGGTTAGAGCCCTTATGTGTCTTGAACTTATATTGAATGCGGTTAATATAAATTTTGTAACATTTTCTGATTTTTTTGATAATCGTCAATTAAAGGGAGACATTTTCTCAATTTTTGTTATAGCTATTGCAGCCGCTGAAGCAGCCATTGGCCTGGCTATTGTTTCATCAATTTACCGTAACAGAAAATCAACTCGTATCAACCAATCAAATTTGTTGAATAATTAATATTAATCATCTAGATTCTAATATTGAGAAATCAATTTTAATTAGCATGTTTACTACGTAAAGTATGATCTTGTTTGCAAAACATAAGAAATCAAAGTATTTTGGCCTCTCTCATATCTCATAAACCAATCCAGAAAGGGGTTGATTAGAAAATCATGATAACTCATTGATTCATCTGGTATCTAAATATATGATTCGTTTCTAAGTTTACTAGATCGAAAATTTATAACATTCAAAAACGTATAGACCCAATGTCACATTCAGTAAAGATTTATGATACGTGTATAGGATGTACTCAATGTGTCCGAGCCTGCCCCACTGATGTATTAGAAATGATACCTTGGGACGGTTGTAAGGCTAAACAAATTGCTTCTGCTCCACGAACAGAGGACTGTGTTGGTTGTAAGAGATGTGAATCCGCCTGTCCAACAGATTTCTTGAGTGTCCGAGTTTATTTATGGCATGAAACAACTCGCAGTATGGGTCTAGCTTATTGATACGTTCGAGAAAACTCTACTTGAATCCATTTAATTTTTTTACCGACAAACCTGTGCTCGAAAATAAAAATATTTTGAGCACGGGTTTTTTTGGTCCAAGTGTATCTTGTCTTTACTACGAATTATTTTCCTTGGTTAACAATAATTGTCGTTTTTCCGATATTTGCGGGTTCTTTAATTTTCTTTCTTCCCCATAAAGGAAATAGGGTAATTAGGTGGTATACGATATGTATATGTATTTTAGAACTCCTTCTAACAACTTATGCATTTTGTTATCATTTCCAATCGGATGATCCATTAATCCAACTAGTAGAGGATTATAAATGGATCGATTTTTTTGATTTCCATTGGAGATTAGGAATAGATGGACTTTCTATAGGACCCATTTTATTAACAGGATTTATCACTACTTTAGCGACTTTAGCGGCTTGGCCAGTTACTCGAGATTCTAGATTATTCCATTTTCTCATGTTAGCAATGTACAGTGGTCAAATTGGATCATTTTCGTCTCGGGACCTTTTACTTTTTTTCATCATGTGGGAGTTAGAATTAATTCCTGTTTATCTACTTCTAGCCATGTGGGGAGGAAAGAAACGTCTGTACTCAGCTACAAAATTTATTTTGTACACGGCGGGGGGTTCTGTTTTTCTCTTAATGGGAGTTTTGGGTGTTGCTTTATATGGTTCTAATGAACCAACATTAAATTTTGAAACATCAGTTAATCAGTCATATCCTGTGGTTTTAGAAATAATCTTCTATATTGGATTTTTTATTGCTTTTGCTGTCAAATCGCCCATTATCCCCCTACACACATGGTTACCAGATACCCATGGAGAAGCACATTACAGTACTTGTATGCTTCTAGCCGGAATCTTATTAAAAATGGGAGCGTATGGATTAATTCGAATCAATATGGAATTATTACCTCATGCCCATTCTATATTTTCTCCTTGGTTGATGATAATAGGTACAATACAAATAATCTATGCAGCTTCAACATCTCTTGGCCAACGGAATTTAAAAAAAAGAATAGCCTATTCCTCTGTCTCCCATATGGGTTTCATAATTATAGGAATTAGTTCTCTAACCGATACGGGACTTAATGGAGCCCTTTTACAAATAATCTCTCATGGATTTATTGGTGCTGCACTTTTTTTCTTGGCGGGAACGACTTATGATAGAATCCGCCTTGTTTATCTTGACGAAATGGGCGGAATAGCTATTCCAATGCCAAAAATGTTCACGATGTTCAGTAGCTTTTCGATGGCTTCCCTTGCATTACCAGGTATGAGTGGTTTTGTTGCCGAATTGATAGTATTTTTTGGAATAATTACCGGCCAAAAATATCTTTTAATTCCAAAACTACTAATTACTTTTGTAATGGCAATTGGAATTATATTAACTCCTATTTATTCATTATCTATGCCACGCCAGATGTTCTATGGATACAAGCTATTTAACGCCCCGAAGGATTCTTTTTTTGATTCTGGACCGCGAGAGTTATTTCTTTCGATCTCCATCTTTTTACCCGTAATAGGTATTGGTATATACCCCGATTTCGTTCTTTCATTAGCAGTTGACAAGGTCGAAGTTATTCTATCTAATTTTTTTTATAGATAATTGGATGACTGAAATAAAAAAACCTATGTTTGTTTTTAAAAACATTCTTGAACAATGAAAAAAAGTCTTCTTTTTTTCTTCTCTTAACTTAAGAATTAAGTAAAAACAATGAAATTGAACTACATATGGTAGAAAACCGTGTGAATCATCAATACAATATTTGATTCACACGGTCCGCATGCTGGTTCATACAATGCGTCGCCCGCTCTTGTATTTGTAATAACTTGTCTTGAATTCAATTAAATGTTGATGGAAAAGAACCATAACTATGTAACCCTATTCCTAATAGATTGACCCCAAAATAGCATATCCAAATTATAAGAAAACCTATAGACGCTACAATTGCAGAATTTGGACCCCGCAAATTTCTATTTGTTCGAGTATGTAAATAAATTGCAAATACGATCCAAGTAATAAATGCCCAAGTTTCTTTTGGATCCCAATTCCAATAGGACCCCCACGCTTCATTAGCCCATACCGCTCCCGAAAGGATTCCTATGGTTAAAAAAGTAAATCCTAAACTAATAACCCGATAACTCCAATAATCCAATTGTTGAATCAATTGGGACCTGTAATAATTTTTAGCACAAAAAAACGAAGTATTTTCGACAACATTTTCACCCAAGAAAAATGACTCGTTTAAAAAACCATTGCTCTTATAAAAAAGCTTTCTGTTTTTTCGAAATGTAATCACTAGAAGTGCTACTGATAATAACGATCCACATAAAAGGGCTGCATAGCCCAATATCATCATACTTACGTGCATTATTAACCACTCAGATTGAAGAGCAGGTACTAATATTCCAGATTGGTGTATTTCAGTTAAAATACCTGAAGTAGCAAAGCCTTGGGTCAAAATAGCACTTGGTCCAGTTATTTTACTTAAAATTAAAACATTTTTTTTGAAATATGGAATTATATGAATAAGGGAGAAACTCCATGAAAGGAAAATTAATGATTCATATAAATCGCTTAGTGGGAAATGTCCTGAAGAAATCCAACGAGTAACTAATAATCCTGTTATACAGAAAAAAGTAACTATTATGCCCTTTTCTGACGAATCGTATAGTTTTACAATTTCATCGACTAAAAAGGTTATCAAATGAATTGTAATTACAATTGAAACGATCGAAAAGGAAATGTGAGTTAATATATGCTCTAAGGTTGAAAATATCATAAAAAATCTTAAAAAAGAAGAGTCCCTTAATTACATAATTCTAAAATGGAAATCGGGAATTGAATTCATTATAAGATCTATTTATCCTTTTTAGAAGATGCTATGCCGCCACTCGGACTCGAACCGAGATGCATTAGCACTGCTTCCTAAGAGCAGCGTGTCTACCAATTTCACCATAGCGGCTTGTCTTGAACTCATAATAGCCTATGAATAAGCAATCGTCGAGATTGAGTAAGCTATTTTAGTTTAGTAATGATTCAAATGGATCAATAACAATAAAAAGTTGTTCAAATAGGAATTTGAGGTTGAAGGTTCATTATTTTTGATTTGAGTTTAGAGTCTTAGTTTTTTTTATTTAACCTGGGACTTTCCTATATTTTATACTTTCCTCGAATTCAACTCTTGTAACTAAACCGTTCTATACTTCTATACTCAATTAAGGAATAGAGTTCAAAAAGTTTTTGTTTTCATTGTTTAAGCAGCAATTTCTTATTTTTTTTTCATAAATATAAAATAAAACAAAAAAGGGATTTTGACGACAAAATAGAAAGAAAAGAACCAATTTTGCATCGCTAAAAATTCACAATTAGTCATACAAAATTTCATTAAGCAATTTTCTCTATTGGGTTAAGGGCAAGATATACATGGGGGTCTATATAATAATTCAGAGAAAATAAAAAGTGAGAAAGTTCGAGAAAACAAAAAGGTTTCAAAATAGAATCAATTACTTTCAATGAGTTCTTAACTTTCACTAAAGATTTTTATATACGTTCTTCTATAGATATGCAAATATAGAATTTTATTTGCATTTTATTCTGCAAATAGGTCGATGGGGAAAATAAAACTCCCCACCTTGGAATAGAAATGATCTTTATTCTTTTGTCAACAAAAAAGTTATTATTCAGTGAATAGTAAATAGAGGATTTCCTAATTCTATTATTTTATATATCAATCAGAAAAGCGAATAGAGTTCCGTTACATATGGATTGGTGAGCTAATCAATATCAAATAGGAAAGGTAAATCGTTCAATTATTCAATTATTATCTAATTGAATAATTGAAGAATAATTGAATTATTTTTTCAAGTTGATTCAAATTATTCTAACGTTTTATTACTTATTTATTTTTGTTTGGCGTACAAAAAAACTTTTTGAATTCCCGGTAGAAAGAGATTTCGCTAATGAAAAAGCCTTTAATGCTACCCAATACCCCTTCCTTTTCCAAATATTTTTACGAATACGCTTTTTTGATGTCGAAGTGCGTTTTTTTGGAACTGCCATTTAGAAATTAAAAAATTACTGATTGTTATAGCTGGATGTGAAAGACATCTATTGTTCAAAACGAATTCTTTTTACTACTATTTATTTTCGAGCTAATAGTGTCCTCCTCAAATAAAACATTATCGAGATAGGCAAAAGCTATGTGAAAGTTGCAGAATACTGGAAATAAAAACAGAAGGCCAATATTTGTTTTTTTTTTCAAGTTTTTCTATTTCATAAAACATTCATAATCGTAAAAAAGAAAAGGTTCTCTATTGACTGGTATCTTTATTTCACATTCTTTTTGATTCATCAAATCTATACCTATAGAATTTGATAATCGGCTGTTCTGTAGAAATGAAGAAAGAAAATTTGTTGAACTTAATATAAAAATCAAAAATAAAATAACGAATCCCAAAAATATTCGATTTCTATTTATGGTTCCACATTTCATTTACATGCAATAAAATACCTCGAAAGGTTTAAAGATAAGAACCGCGTTTTACTTCAGGAAATGAAAAACTTGAATCCCCGTTCGATTCACTGGTCAAACTTGGATAAAAAATAGGCTTATTTCAAAGGAGACTAGTAATTAATCCCTTTTATATCATTTGACCAATCGTAACTTCGTGATTTGAATAGTTGAAGTATTTAGCAAAGACTCAGAATAAGTAAGAAAAAAAAATTCTATTTAAGTTTTAAATTAGTTTAAGTTAGTCCATATTTTTACTTTTTATTGACTCCTTTCAAAAGAGGTAAGATCCGGTGAATCGGAAACAATTAATTAAGAATTTAAAACTTTTTTATGGAACAGACATATGAATATGCGTGGATCATACCTTTCATTCCACTTCCAGTCCCTATGTTAATAGGAGCGGGACTTATTCTTTTTCCAACGGCAACAAAAAGTTTTCGCCGTATGTGGGCTTTTCAGAGTGTTTTATTGTTAAGCATAGTCATGATTTTTTCAATCTACCTGTCTATTCAGCAAATAAATAGCAGTTCTGTTTATCAATATGTATGGTCTTGGATCATTAATAATGATTTTTCTTTAGACTTCGGATACTTGATCGACCCACTTACTTCTATTATGTCAATATTAATCACTACTGTTGGAATTATGGTTCTTATTTATAGTGATAATTATATGGCTCATGATCAAGGCTATTTGAGATTTTTTGCTTATATGAGTTTTTTCAGTACTTCCATGTTGGGATTAGTTACTAGTTCGAATTTGATACAAATTTATATTTTTTGGGAATTGGTTGGGCTGTGTTCCTATCTATTAATAGGATTTTGGTTTACACGACCTGTTGCGGCAAATGCTTGTCAAAAAGCGTTTGTAACTAATCGTGTAGGGGATTTTGGTTTATTATTAGGAATTTTAGGTTTTTATTGGATAACGGGGAGTTTCGAATTTAGAGATTTATTCGAAATATTCAATAACTTGATTTATAATAATGAGGTCAATTTTTTATTTGTTACGTTATGCGCTGTTCTCTTATTTGCCGGTGCAGTTGCTAAATCCGCCCAATTCCCCCTTCATGTATGGTTACCTGATGCCATGGAGGGGCCTACTCCTATTTCGGCTCTTATACATGCTGCTACTATGGTAGCGGCGGGAATTTTTCTTGTAGCTCGGCTTCTTCCTCTTTTCAGAGTTATACCTTACATAATGTATTTGATCTCGGTTATAGGAATAATAACAGTATTATTAGGAGCTACTTTAGCTCTTGCTCAAAAAGACATTAAGAGAGGTTTAGCCTATTCCACAATGTCTCAATTGGGTTATATGATGTTAGCTCTAGGTATGGGGTCTTATCGAAGCGCTTTATTTCATTTGATTACTCATGCTTATTCCAAAGCATTATTATTTTTAGGATCCGGATCTATTATTCATTCAATGGAAACTATTGTTGGATATTCTCCAGCTAAAAGCCAGAATATGGGTCTTATGGGAGGTTTAAGAAAACATGTACCAATTACCAAAATCACATTTTTATTAGGTACACTTTCTCTTTGTGGTATTCCACCTCTTGCTTGTTTTTGGTCCAAAGATGAAATTCTTAATGATAGTTGGTTGTATTCGCCAATTTTCGCAATAATAGCTTGGGCCACGGCGGGATTAACCGCATTTTATATGTTTCGGATCTATTTACTTACTTTTGAAGGGCATTTAAACGTTCATTTTCAAAATTATGATGGGAAACACAAAACCCCTTTCTATTCAATATCTCTATGGGGTAAAAACGGAGTTAAGAAAAACTCTTGTTTATTAACAATGAATAATAATGAAAGTACTTATTTTTTGTCAAAAACTAAATATCCAATTGATAAAAATGGAAGAAAGATGACACGACCTTTTATGACTATTGCTCATTTTGAGCATAAAGCGGTTTCTTCCTATCCGTATGAATCGGACAATACTATGCTATTCCCAATATTTGTATTAGGGCTCTTTACTTTGTTTGTTGGAGCTATAGGAATTCCTTTCAACCAGGAAGGAGTTAATTTGGATATCTTATCGAAATGGTTAGCTCCATCTATAAATCTTTTGCATCCAAAGTCGAATAATTCGCAGGATTGGAATGAATTTTTAAAGGATGCAGTTGTTTCAGTCAGTATAGCTTATTTCGGAATATTTATAGCATCCTTTTTATATAAACCCATTTATTCTTCTTTAAAAAATTTGGAGTTCATTAACTCTTTTGTTAAAAAGGGTCCTAAGAGAATTCTGTGGGACAAAATTCTAAATGGCATATATGATTGGTCATATAATCGTGCTTACATAGATGCTTTTTATACAAGATTCTTTGTTGGTGGGATAAGAGGATTAGCTGAATTTACTCATTTTTTTGATCGACGAGTAATTGATGGGATGACTAACGGGGTTGGGGTTATTAGTTTCATTGTAGGAGAAGGTATCAAATATATAGGGGGCGGGCGCATCTCTTCTTATCTTTTCTTGTATTTAGCTTATGTTTCCGTCTTTTTATTAGTTTATTACTTACTTTTTTCTACTTGA